TCTCACAGCTGATCCAAAAAGCCCACGCACTGAGCTGAGTTCTGCACAATGGCCTTGTGTAGCCAAAGAACCACATATACCCGACTGTACAAGCAGGACAACAGGAAGAGTGACTAGGGGTTAGATATGGCCAGACTGTAGAGCAAACCTATTTACAGCAACAACATGAAACCAGATCCCTGAAATGATGAATCAGCAGTATACAAGCTCTTGCACTACAAACTAAGTGATGTGATAGTCTACCCCATGCCACCATCTACTGGCCATAACAAAAAATTGCAATTTCTCCACACTAAAACCTGCATTTTACCAAAGAAAATGAACAGGAAGAGGTCGAAAGTACCTTGTTGCTTGGTTCCAACTTCAGTGCCCTCTTCAAAGTTTGAATGGCTTCTGGGTATTCACCTTGCAAGGCCAACACCTGAAGTGAGGACACATAACTGTTAAATAAAAGAGCAAAGACTAACATAGACAAAGTGCCAGATCAAGAGCAATGTGTACTTTGCCCATGCGGAAAAGCGCTTTGATGTTATCTGGCTGGTGTGCCAGTGCCAAGACACAAGATTTAAGTGCTGCATCATAATGGTCCAGTTTCAGCTGAGAAGCAGCCATGTTGTTTAAACATTTCACTTTCACATCCATCAGCTCGTTCTCCTCCTCTGCACTGATGTCAACTGCAGGAGAAGAAAACACAAATAAAAAGATAAAGGTTATAGACAAACAGCAACTTTAACTTTAATGAAGAGTTTATTATATAAATCACACAGCAGTACATGGGCTTTCAATGCCTATCACTATTTAAAGTAGGCCACTATTAGATTTTTTTAAAACCATGCCAAGACATTTTGGGGAAAACTCCCCTCATGGTTTTATGTTAAATTAAAAACTTTCTAAAACATATTTTGGCATCAACTATTTTTTGTCATGTTCCCCCTCCTGTTAGATTCCAACTAAGTTCAATGCTGAATGATAAACTAAATTTACTGAAACAAAATTTACAATGTGTTCTGATTCTCTGGCCTGCATCTCACCTTTAGAACTTGACTCTGTTATCTGCAGGGCAATGCTATATGAGTTTACAGCAAAGGTGTAGTCCCCACGCTGATAATGGACATTGCCCCTCTCTCTCTTATGGCTGGCCAGAGCAATCTTTTCTGCAGGGGACAGTAGCTCCAGGTCTGGAGCATCAGTAGCTTCCAGCAATTCCACTTCTAAGGACAGCGGAGCATTAGGGGGAACCACAGGTTCAAGACTAGAAATAAGAAACAACTCAGTTAAGTTCAGGTTACATCTATCACTGGATCACACACAAGGAATCTGAACTGTCATATGTCTCCTGGTATTTACAACAGGGTTCAGAACATCCAAGAAGCCGAATACAGAACTCGCAAAGCCAATACAACCAAGCCAAAAAAGTTTGAAGATGTAGCTTTGTAATCAGAATAGATTTTTTTAAACAATCTCTTTAGTAATTACATTATTGCCTACCTCCCCCGAGCTCCAAACGCATACTTTGCATCAGTCTGGATAAGAACCTTTTCTTCCATTTCCATGAGCTGCACTGTGAGATCCAGAGCCTGAAAGTAGAAATATCTCACTCCAGCAAGATACTCACAACATGACACCACAGTATGTTTTGTCAGTATCACAAAAGTAATCATAATTAATAACCTACAAACCCTAACCCAATGAAGTTGGGACATTTAGTAAAACGCAAATAAAAACAGAACACAATGACTTGCAAATCCTTTTTGCAATATTTAATTGAATACACCACAAAGACAAGATATTTAATGTTCAAACTGATCAACTTTGTTTTTGCAAATATTCACTCATTTTGAATTTGATGCCTGCAACACGTTCCAAAAGAGCTGGGACAGGGGTAGTTTTACCACTGTGTTACATCACCTTCCCTTTTAACAACACTTAATAAGCATTTGGGAACTGAGGAATTCTTTCCCATTCTTGCTTGATGTATGACTTCAGTTGCTCAAAAGTCCAGGGTCGTATTTTGCACGTCATAATGCGCCACACATTTTCAATGGGAGACAGGTCTGGACTGCAGGCAGGCCAGTCTAGGACCTGCACTCTTTTACTATGAAGCCACGCTGTTGTAACATGTGCAGAATGTGGCTTGGCATTGTCTTGCTGAAATAAGCAGGGACGTCCCTGAAAAAGACACTGCTTGGAAGGCAGCATACTTTGCTCCAAAACCTGTATGTACCTTTCAGCATTAATGGTGCTAAACAGATGTGCAAGTTACCCGTGCCATGGGCACAAACACCCCCCCCATACAATCACAGATGCTTTTCAACTTTGTGCTGATAACAATCTGGATGGTCCTTTTCCTCTTT